ACTGATGATCAAATTATGCGAGGCAAATTAGATGACGCAGCAGATCTGCAAAATTGCAACCGCAAGCCTGATGCCTGCTGTTGAGAGGGGTTGATGGATATTTCCTGGAAGAAAAGGATACGATTCAAATATGATCACTTGGAGACATGCCTATATATACTCTTAAGTACAAAGAAAAGAGAGAGACTTTACGAGATTAATCAAGTAGCTTGTGTAACATCCCCTTTTTGATAAACTTCTTGGTTTACCAAATAGGGAAATATACTGCTCAAGATAAAAAAAAATAAAAATTATCTATAAAAAAATATTGCAGCGAAAATAAAAATTCTTCTTATATAAAATGTTTTCTTTTAAAAAAAATCTGTTTTCAAAACAATTTAAAGTTTTATAAAAGAAAAATCCTTGATTTGTAAGGGAAAACTATTTAAATGAACAATATTTTTAAAAAAAATTGAAATACTCAAAGTTATAAAATAAGTCAGGTTATGTTCATTTAAATTAATTTTAATGTCATATACATAAAAGTAATTTATACAAAAAAATACATGAAAGCAATTGCTTTTCAAAATATTTTCTAAAATAATAAAAGCAAAATTATTATTTTAGTGATACATTAATCCGCCTTCACATTGAAAACACTAAGGTCGACATACAAGATTTATATCAAGAGTTCTCAAGCTGAGTAGCCGCTACTCCGGTCATCTAATTTGAAATGGGGGGAGAAATTTATGAGTTAAAAGCTTAGTAAATAGTAAGTTTAAGCTATAAACTTGGGTTCTAAGACCCTTAAACCTATATACACAAAGCACAAAAGACAATTAAATCGAATTACATAATATTATAAATCTCAATGTTTAAATAACAATTTAATAGTACAAATTAACTCACAAATAGTTAAACATGTCAAGGAATAACTAATGACATTTATATCAAATTCATATCGTAAAATCATGTGCTCATTAATGTGATGTCACAAGTATAAAGCACAAAACCGAAAATCAAACAATGCTATGGAGTTCATTAATATGTGCTAGCAACACAGTACTGGAGTTAATTACAGTACTAACTTTACTACGCAGAGATCCACTAAATACTCCGAAGGGTCTACTGAATACCTCAAACTTTAAGCTTAGGTTCACTTACTCTATAGCCATCAACACATAAGCATGTGAAACAAATTCAGAATATGTCCAAAATAATATTAGGACTTCCTATTGAAAGAAATTAAAATATAGTGTGTGAACAGTGATGTATAAACAGTAATTGTGAACAGTAATACACGAACAATAATCCTGAATAGTGATGCATAAATAGTAATTGTAAACAGTAATACATAAATAGTAACCTATGAACAGTATATGTGAACAGTATTAAAAGTAGCAATCTGCTCCAAGCTCCAACACAGTTCAAGGACCAATTGATTACGTAAATTCTAACTTAATCACACAAGGCAAACAAGCAATAACAGGAGTACTAATCAATAAAATCCACACCAAACCAAGTATGGAAAAAGGAAAATGACTTATTATCCACTCCGTACAAACCTCAAAAATTAAAGATATTTCTAATAAAATTTTAATACCCAAAAATCTTATAAACCAAAGGATTTGGGTTAAATCTCACTAATTTAAACCACCCAAAACTTTAACTCCAAATTCATAACTAAAACTTATATTTACTTAAAAATCAAAGCACCAAATTGAAGAGAACTACAGAAATTGAAGGGATTTCAACTTAAGAGTGCGTCCTACATGTTAATCTTGGTTGAAAAAAGAAGGGAGAAAAGGGTAGGGACCGACTAGAAAAAGAAAGGTGCAGAGAAAATGGGTTTCGAGAGGATAAGTTCAAAAAGAAAAAAGGGATTTGGCTTTCTAATGTCTTCTAGAGAAAACCCCTGGTGAGTTGGTTCATAAATTGCCACATGTCTTAAATTTGGCAAATTTAGTTAAATAGTCTCTAATTATCTTATAATTTCACATAAGGTCCACATATTTCAATTCTAATCAATTTAATCCTTAAAATGTTAAAATAAGACTCTAATTTTTAATTTATTCATTAAAGTATATAAGGTGTTACAGCTTGGCTTCTACTTAAGGTAAATACAAACAATTTAAAAATGAGAAATTTAAAAAAAAAAGGAAGCCTTTTTTGCTAATAAAGTCATGCGATCCGCAACAAAACTGAAACATTTTCATTTAATATATAAACTCTGAATTCCTCAAAAAAATATATAAACTCTAAAGAGAACATAACAAAATCAAGATTGAAGAACTAGCTAGATAGATGGTGTGCCTGTAAGATTAGTAGAAGAATTGAAGGAAGTTAAGATACCAGTAACAAAATTAGGCTAAGCAATAATTTGAAGCAGGTTAATTGCAATTGCAAAACCTAAAAATTATTTCTGATAAGAAGTGTTGAGCCGGCCATGGAAAAGAAAGAAGATAAAGTAGGCGCAATCCCCCATGTGGTCTAATGGTAGCCACATTGTTTATTGGATAGCAGGTGGAATGCATTCAATTCAAAGGTTCGACCCTTCCTAATGGCAT